TGTAAAACTATCTACTAGGAGAACATAAAGCAAAAGATATATAATAAAACCAATCCCTCACACCACTGAAACACATACAAATGCACGAGTGCAATGAGAGAGATGGAGCTACGTACGCTTATTGAGCTTATTATTCATAAATGAAACGTATCTCGAAACCGACTTCACTTAGTACATGAAATAAGATTTCATTGAAAATGCAATTGCACATAGCCTTAAAGTAAGACCATCGACTAGGATAACATGAAACAGCAGATATGTACTATTCTATTCCTCGTACCCTGAGACCTAGACGTACAATGTACAGCTTGTAAGCACTAGATATACAGTAATGAGCGGGACAGAACTAGTGACTTGCGCACATTGAAAGTGAAATTAATAGCATGCGAAATCGCTGTCATGTGACATATATATGTCTGTGTATATATATGTGCTGTCATGTGTGACTGTATGTACAGTTGAATTTTTAAGGTAATTTAATCTGAAGATAATAAAAATAATATTTCCATTGAACGATTATGAAACAACAAGTTGATATTAAGATACAAAATATCCTACTAATATTATAAACGCAAAAGTTTGTGAAGATGTATGGATCTATGGAAGTCTGGATGTTTGTTACTCTTTCACGCAAAAACTACTGAATATATTTTAATGAAACTTTACAATAATATAGTTCATACATGAGAATAACACATAGGCTACTTTTTATAGCGAAAAAATGTATGGTTCCCGTGGGATAGATTTGTCTTTGCGTTTCTAGAGGCGAACTCGAGCGAAGCGATTGGTGAGCCGCTAGTCATAATATAATTTACTCTTCTTATTTATCAGCAATTAAATATAATAAATATTATATAAAGCAGCAGAAATATTCACTTTTACTATGATCAAATGAACCTGAACAAGTAAATCGTTCTTTTAAGAACATAACGCTCTTTTCCGTTAGATAATAATTCTTACATTCTAGAATGATATGCAAGATTTTTTTTCGTTTCTGCTCCATTCACGCAACAACGGACAAACAGATTGAGTGAAAATAGCTTATTAGCCCAGAGATTTCTTATACTATATTTCTTATATTCCTTATGCAAGCAGAACACAAAGTAGTAGTCAGAGAATATTAATAAATTTTAAAGGCAACAAATGACATTAGTATAAAACTTCAAACTGTAAAAAGTTAAAGAATTCACTACAATGAAAGTCCTACGCGCTACGAAGCGCTACGAGCCTACGGCGAAGTTCATCGTACGTTCCATTCAACATACAGCTACAAGATATCGTAGCGATCTCCATTTTGTAATAGACGACGACTTGTAACTGCTATTTGTGTGATTTTTGTTAACTAATAATATTTAATATATAATGTCACGGTGATTGTGGTCCCATTCCTCAGAAACGGCTCGAGCGATTTTAATGATATATGTTATATAAATACATAAATAACATAAAACCAAAAAGATTTTTTTGTAGATTAAGCGCAGGAGTAGCCGCGGATTCTGCTAGTTAAGTTCAAGACTTTAGTTAGTATATAACAAAATAAAAGTATAGCAACTATGGCTTTTGCATGCAAATGCAATCATATATTATGACTAACATTGCCTTTTCTTAGGTTTTACATATTAGTGTACTCTTACATTGCAGTTTTTGCATTTTTTCTCAGAAATGAGATATTTTCTTGCAGTAAAGAGTATCCTATAATATATATATATATATATATTTCCAAAAGAACATTTGTACCTTTAAAAAATAAACCTTTGCCAAACACTTTAAACGTAGCCATTATAGAATGATACAAGTGGCAGAAAAGCGGACAAATTACACGTTCATTCGTACTGAATGAAACGACACGATTATGGAAATAATGAAGGAACATCTCCACAGCCTAGTACCAGGAGTACATAACATTGCAGAAGGTTTAGTTTAGTACATCGATTTCCTCACACCCTAGGTCTCATTTTAAGCACTATGGGCGGAGTCTTGAAACGGCGGATACTAAATAGAAAAGTGTCATTCCGTCTCTTTCTAACTTTATGCTACTCATACGAGTACATTCACATATATCAAAGTATTAAAAAAGTATTTATAATATTTTTAACTAATTTTTCTTAAGGTCTAATGCTTTTAGGTGATATATATGTACATTGTTAAATTTACGTCACAAGTTAGAAAACATGTATCTTCTTTACTCGACTACACCAGAAGGAGGGTTATGTTTTCTAGTACTTCGAATGTATATGCCTAAAAACTCTAAGTCTCTATAGATACACGCATTAATCTTTAAGCTAAAAAATAGACTAAATACTCTTTACTTATTTTTTATCTACAACATTACGAAAAAAAAAAACTTTACTTGATCTTCAAAAACAAAAAGGGCCATATTTAAAATTTATTTGTTTCTAATCACATTACTTTAACTAAATATATCATTTATTTTTTTATTTTTAAATGTAATAAAGTAAAAGACAGTATATATTTGGCTATTAGCATTTCAATAATAAAATATTATTTATTTATAAATTATTAAATATAAGTATTACCTATACATAACCTTGGTACAAGTTTCCAAAAGAGCGCGCTTTCTTACTAGGACTGCAGAAGAAATAATAGTTAATCGTAGAATACTGTTGCCACGTCTTCATACATGTATATATTAAATTTAAATATTACAAATAAATCAACCTAATATACAACAAAAACTATAATTTGAACAAAAAATAAATTTTAACCGTTTCAACACAAACCTTAATGCTTTCCTTTATAATTTACACGTAAATAATAAAATTTAAAAATAAAAAAAATATAGTAACACATTTCATAATAATTCAGTAAAAAAATGGTACCTTAAATATAATTTTGCAGAACCACAACGCATTCTTTTTATTCTTCCTAGAATACTAATTATAATACGTATAATATATTATTTATCTATCTGTTCTTTCATATCAAACGTACACGTAAAAAACGTGATTTAAAAATCGACAAACTTGACCCAAAAGTCAAAATATTGGACGGCGGTTTAATTTTTAATGCAATCAGATCATATAATTGTCAAGAAAATTGTTACACATGGATATTTGATTACGTAAAATACTATCGCATTATTTATTTACGAGGGCAAAGAATAAAGGCAAGAAATAAATAATAGCTACCACTGCCTCATAATACATACTTTAAGCGAATTACTAACTACTACGTACGACTGCGACTTACTAAGTAATGAAATGATAGCATATATTAATACTAGGGGTTCGCCTCTAGACAAACTAAAACCAATCTATCCCACGGGAATCGTGCATTTTTATAGTTAAGATAGTTAAGATAAAAACTAGCCTATTTGTTATTCTGATGTATGAACTATATTAACATAAGTTTCATTAAAATCTAATTAGTGTTTTTTGTGTACTAAGCTGTATAAGTTACTATAGTTTTTTAACTCTCCCACGGAAACGGCTTTAATTTTCCGTGATGAAAAGTATCTAAAATGTCGATCGGGGATATAAGGTACCACCATGCAAAATTTCATTTAAATTGGTCTAACAGTTTCGGAGATTTGCCTATACAAACAGACAAACAGACAGAGAAACAAAAAAAAAATAAAAAATCTATTAATTTATAATATAGTTATTTTTATAATCTGTATATATTTAAAGTTATATATGTGTAGTGTATCAACTATCTGGTATCCATAACACACGCCTCGTAGCTTACCATGGAACTAAATGATGCTGTGTGTTAATGTCCTAACATATTTTTATTTATATACATATTTATTGTCCTACAACATACAATTTTTCACGATTTGATTCTATTTATCTAGTACTTGATGTTTTTTATTTTTTGATTTATTTGAAATTAATTTAATTTAAATACGCTAGTTTCGTAAAAAAAATATTATTTATTCGTGATTTGTTGATGTGATTTCATACTTTCGTAGTGGTTTAATTTAGAGTATGATTTTTTTTAATTTACATTACTATTTTCTAAAAATTATAGAAAATGTTCAAATATGTTTATTCGTAAAATAGGTTTTAGGTGGCAATATATATTAATTATTATTTCAAATCCTTAATTTAATAACACATTAGATTTAAAATAATACTTTGTTTCAACTAGCGTTTAAAAAATAATTCTAAAAAGCGCTACCTAGCAAAAGGCGGCTTGAAGTAACAACAATACTTAAAATCTGCTCTTCCCTAATTTCATACTGTACATATATACAATGACAGAACTTTACGATACAACGTTACTAGCATCGCATAAGTTTCGGAAGCTCTAAAGCCTAGATATATGTACATATGTACTTATATATAGAATATGACTATTAGATGAACTCCCGGAATATCATTCTTCTCGCTAAAACATTTGAAGACGCAACGGATGCATCGAGTGCAGTCTCCTTTCAATATGCGTATGTCACTATTGGGTTCGTCTCTTTCATTAAAACCTCATACCCACCGTATGAGAAGTCTACAGGTACAGGTGAGAGGGATTGATTAGAAACATTACGAGCATGTTCTCCTAGTAAAATCACAGTATAAAAATTATATATATACTAGTGGTGCACCCTCGCTTCGCTCTTGTTCCTAAAATAGATAAATCTTACATCACATCTTACATCATCGCGTTACATCTGTTTGTTATTAAACAAAACAAAAATATATATCATAAAAATGTATGTTATGGTTTCAAAAACAATATTCCATTTTATCGAAAACGAAATAATTGTATTCAGCTCTTTTGAACCCACTTCGCTCGGTTTCCCAAGGGAGCGCGCTACCACTGGGCTACTATTGTCTACTTATTATTTTCTTAAAAATATTAAACTATAGTAATTTAATTAAATTAAATATTTTGTTGATTCCGCTATTTAACGATTTCAGCCGATCGATAAAATAAGCAATTTCTTATTAATCCAAAGATATGGTTATATATTTTAAAGTATTCCTTCTATAGTAAATAATTATTATTATTCACGCTAAGAGGCAATAAATAAATATTGAATGAAAAACGAATACGATCTTATGAAGCACGAACAGAAGAAGTTAGTTTTGAAAGAAAACACCAAAAGCGATGTTATAGATAATGCAGAAAAATGGTTTCCGCCCGGGATTGAACCGAGATTATCTGCTTTTAGAGCAGATGTGCTACCATTACACCACGGAAACTTAACAATATTGTCTGAAACTGCTGTACTAGTTCCAAAATATGACGTCACAAGTCATACGTCACCCAAACATAGGAGGTTTACTTCAGTATTTGAACAATTTTCATATATCTATCTCATACCTTCCACCTCTCTATTGCACTTTTACCTTTGACAGTGTGAGAGAAATGCATTGAAAATTATTATTGCCTACTATCCCATGATCTCCTGGTACACGATGTTTCACAAAATCTTTATATGCAGTTGCATTTGAAGTTAAAATAAGATGCATGTGCAAATGACGTGTTAACTTTAAGCAATTTTTAAATAGAGGAGTGAATGTTCCTAAAAGTCAATCGATTTTTATTATTATCTCACATTTACTCTCATTGTGTATAAGTACCTGGGCTATCGAGCTTCTCTCAGAGTTTTTGGCCTAGAGTACATTTTTCTTTTTTTTAAACTAAAAACTTGAATAAATATAAATATAACAACAAAAACAAAAGTAAAACTTTGTATTCGACCGAGATTCGAACCTGGACAAAATTTCCGACCATATTTTGTGTGGAATAATGCGAAAGAAAACAGCATAAAAACTCGAAAGCAGACTTTTTTTCAGACATCTAATTACTCGCTTAAACATATTAGAGTACCTGGACTACCGAGCTTCGCTCGGAGTTTTTGGCCTAAAGTACCATTTCCTTTTTTTTTTAAACTATTAAAAAAAACAAAAGTTAAACTTCATATTTGACCGGGATTCGAACCCTCGGAACATTAGAAATCTTGGAAATGGCTCCAACGATTTTGCTGAAATTTGGTATGTGGGAGTTTCCGGGGCTGAAAAATTGATCTAGATTAGTTTTGTGTCTGAGAAAACGCGTGTTTTCGAGTTTTCATGCGGCTTTGTTTCACATTATTCCACTCAAAATGTGGTCGCTAATTCGTACACTAAGATATAAGCATCGTGGTTAAGCGGCCAAGGCACAAGTTTGACAACCACAGGTGACTGGGTTCGAATCTCACTTGCTCACTAGCGCAATAAAAACATTCTCTTTAAATAATGTTGATAAGCGAGTTGAGTTATTTACTTACCCATTATTTTACCCAGCCGGTACGGATGGTTTTAGCCCAGATTTGCAGTTACAAACGCCTTATGCCAGCCGCAGTTATTTAACTCGACTTGAATTGGCACAATATAGACTTTCGTTTCGACCAGATTTTGTTAAATTTTTAAGAGAATCTCCATCAACAGAAGTACCCGATGTACGAGAACTTCCATTTAATGCACTGCATTTTAGGGGCCGATTATTTCAACAATATTTAGTGGATACTTACATTCGTGTAGAGCGTGTCCGTATTCAATGGATAAAATACAACCAAAATAAGATTCTACCTGAACAATATACGGGAGTAACCAGTTTCATTAATCCACTTGCGGAAAAAAATGCTACAGTTGGTGAAAAGATTATTTTACCCTCCTCTTTTCCTGGTATTACACGGAAAATTTTGAAGATGTAATGGCTATTGTTCGAAGGCTTGGATCATCTGATTTCTTTATCACCATGACATCGAATCCTAACTGGCCAGAAATAAAACAGGCATTGTAAATGAAATTAGAAGATGGAACGATCTTGCAACAGCTTTCACAAGATCGTCCTAATATCATAGCTTGAAATGCTTACTTAAAATTTGACCAAAGGTATCGGCTTTTGTATACACTATAGAATTTCAGGAACGAGGATTACCACACATGCATCTGCTTACAATTATGACATCTGATGACAAGATTCATCAACCAGAAGAGCTCGATGACTGTTTCATCCCAAATACCCGGAAATGATGACTTAAATTTAAGAGAATTAGTACTTCAATGGATGATTCACAACCTATGTGGTGATTCAAATCCCAATGCAACGTGTATGGCTCATAAAAACGGAAGAACAAAATGTCGATTCGACTTTCCAAAACCAGGAAATTACATCTTTAGTAGATGATGGTAAACTAAATTACCGAAGACGCTGCAATTCGCAGTTGGACCCTCATAGTCCCCCATTTTAACACGAACATGCGGCTTATCGCAAAGACATAAATGGCCGTCATATAACACGAGATAACCGTCATGTAGCGCCCCACAACGCAGATTTATTGATAAAATTTAATTGTCACATAAACGTTGAGTACGTTAGGAGTATTTTGGCTGTGACATATCTTTATAAATACATTAATAAAGGACACGACTATGCATCGATCAAAGTTGTAGAAGAACAACGTACACTAATTTATAATGAAGCAAATACATACATTGAAGGACGTTGTGTCACGCCACCAGAAGCATGCTGGCGATTATTTGCTTTAGAAATTCCAAAAAAAAGTTATAGCGTCCAACGACTGGATACCCACTTACCAGGTCAGAAACGGATCGCAAACTTGAACCAAACCCATGAAGATTTAGCCGACATTGGCCAAAGAGGGTCTACCCTGAAGGCTTATTTTAAGCACAATGCAGAAATTACAAGACATAATCAGTCAAGAGATAATATCTCAAGTCGATATCATTTTTATTGGCAGATGCCTGACAATTTTACATGGATCGGAAGATCTAGCGAATGGGGGTCAAGAGTTCGCCATTTGCGAGTAATTGGTAGGATTCACAATGTGAATTTCGTTGCCCAACCAGAACTTTACCACTTGCGATTATTACTATTTCATGTAAAAGATGCAACAAGTTTTGAAGACCTTCGAACCGTAACAGACATCCAATATCAGACGTATTAACAAGCATGCTTAGCACGAGGCTTAACTTACGACGATCAACAATGGATAGAAGGATTACGAGAATCTACATTATTTAAAATGCCTGTAGCAATGAGAAGCCTTTTTATTCAAATTTTAATTTACAGATCTCCTGAAAATCCAAACCGTTTGTGGGAAAAATTTAAAGAAAATTTGTCAGAAGATTTTATACGCGCGATCCGGCAAAATGGAAAGCCTATAGAAAATGCAATTAATCGTGGTTACAGAATGATTGCTAGAAAATTAAACACTGAAACAACAGAAGGACGAAATTTCCAATACTGGTCACAAAATTTTGGCTTTGAGGACATCGATAATTACGATCTTGAAGATAATCAAGAGAATTTAAACACGGATGAATCAGCAGTATTAGGAGAGCAACTGTACCAGTTACTAAAAGGAAGACAGATAGAAGTGGTAATTCTATTCTTCAAGCTGTAAATAATACAGCTTCTAAAACGAAATGCTTCTTCATTGATGGTCCGGGAGGTACTGAGAAGACATTCATATATAAAACATTATACTATATGCTGACTGGAAAACGATATAGAGTAAAATGTATGGCTTTTACCGGTATTGCTTCCATATTATTGCCTAATGGACGTACTTCTCATAAAACTTTTGGACTAAAAGTTCTACTGACACCAGATTTATTCTCAAGTATTAAACCTAACTCTTCAAAAGCGAGATAATTAGCAGAAATAGATATTTTTCTTATGGATGAAGCTCCGACGCTTCCAAAATATGGTTTACAGAACATTGATCAACTTTTACGATCCATTGAAAATTCGGATCTCCCTTTCAGTGGAAAAGTAATAGTACTAGGAAAAGATTTTCGCCAATGTCTGCATGTACAGCCACGTGCGAATAAAACTGAGTTATTAGATCTTTCTACCAAGCGATACTTCTTATGGTCCGTTTTCAAGACTTTTAAACTAGAAGAAAATATGCGCGGTGATATAGAGCAACGACAATTTGGTGATTATTTACTAAAATTAGGCAACGGCGAACTGACCCTAAATACTATGGAAGAAATTTAATTGCCACAGAATATCATTTCAATCTTATTGATGAAGTATTTGGTAACTGCTTAGCCAATCAAAATTATAATGGGATGAAAGACAGAGCAATACTCGCGCCTCTTACAAAGATATTGAAAAAAATAATATGATATAGCCATGACTCAATGAAAGATCAACTTGAAGGAGCAGTTGAATTTATAACAGAATTTCTCAATAGTGTCAACATTTCAGACTTGCCACCACACGAATTAATATTGAAAAAAAATGCATTAATAATGCTGTTGCGTAATTTAGAAGTATAAGAAGGACTATGCAATGATGTAAGACTCATGGTAACAAGTCTGTGCAATCACATAATAAAGGCAAAAATTGTTACTGGTGAACAATCCGGCAAAGAAGTACATATACCAAGGATAACCGCAGCATCAAAGTCGACTGTCGACTGTTTTTGATCCAAACCTAAGCCCATCAATGCTGGCATCCCGCATTGCTCAGTGCTATCGCCTACACTGTTCATTCTGCATATCAATGATATGTTGCAAAACAGCAACATCCATTGTTATGCGGATGACAGCACTGGCGATGCTCTCTATAAAGGTCATGCACAGTTCTCTCGCGCAATGCTGGAAAAGAGTAGATCCAAACTTGTGTCTGACATTGGGCCTCTCTCAAGAAAGTATCAGTATGGGGTTCACAAAACCTTGTGAAATTTAACCCTTCAAAAACACAAGTTTGTGCGTTTAACGCCAAAAAGACTCCCTTTACCACACCTCTTCTTTTTCAGAACACTCCCCTCACCTCATCCGATAGTCCAGTTCCGGCATCACTTGGAGCGAAAAGCTAAATTAGCCTCTAAAAAACTTGGGGTGCTCATCAGAGCTAAGTGGTACTTTGCGCCAGAGCACAGGCCCCTACTTTATAAATCGCAAGTCCACCCACACATGGAGTATTGCTCGCACCTTTGGGCTGGAGCACCTTAGTATCAACTCCTTCCATTCGACCGGATTTAAAAGAGGGCAGTACTGCTTGTGGACGACTCTTAATTAACTAGCTCATTGGAAAGCCTGGAACACCGCAGAGACGTAAGCTCTCTTTGCGTTTTCTATGAGCTATATAACGGGTTCTGAAGAGCTATTTGACCTTATCCCACCCTCTCTCTTCTATATCCGCACCGCACGCCACCGAAAGCAATTTCACCCTCACTGCCTGGGTGCCTGGAGCACTTCGACTGTCCGTTGTGCTAGATTATTTTTCCACGCACTACCAAACTGTGGAACCAACTCCCATCAACTGTGTTCCCGCTCAATTACAACATGGGGTTATTCAAGGGGCGGACCAATAAATTTCTCAAAGGCCGGCAACGCATTGGTGGTACCTCTGGTGCTACAAATGTTCATGGGCGGCGAAAATCGCTAAACATCAGGTGACCCGCCTGTTCGTTTGCTCGCCATTATTATATAAAAAAAATAACCGTTGACTCATCAAAAGGACAACTGAGACGCACCATGCAGCGTCACCAATTTCTCGTTAGATCTACATTTGCCATGACCTATCCACGAATCCCAAAGGCAAACTTTCGAATCTGTTGAATGCATTATGATGCATATAAAATAATGCATAGCGCTTATAAAAACATCGTGCAAGTGTACTAGGAACACATTGCTCCAAGGAGGTACACCTGCACTTTTGCAATATATTTAAAAAGTGTTACCCGGTATGGTTAAGTGTTGAATACTATAAATTTTATTTTGCAAAAAATATCATATACACTCACCATTTTTTAATATCCAATACCATTCAAGCACTCTCAATACTTCAATTTATTTAATGAATAATTGCTAATGGCGTCGGTTATTACAAAATCTTAAAATATTTGCTCAGAAATACACAGTGAGCGAACCTGCATGAATAGTCGAGTTTAGGTGTAGAGGGTTTGACGGGATCACGAGGGCGGAGTCAATAAGTTAAATGGGTAGAATAACTACATACATCTTCCAACGTAAGAGAGATGCATATATATGTTATCTATGTAATAGAAACATACAATAGTGATTTTATAACTACATCCTATATGACTACATACATAAATCCGTATATACTAATAATATACAAGCTTTAAAGCTCCCAAAACTTACGATGCTAGTAAAGTTGCATCGTATATTTCTGCCATCGAAATTATGAGTGCAATCCGACCGATAATATTGAACTTAATGTATCTATTAATATATCACATACTGGTCTATATACAACAAAGGCTGAGCGCTACCGTGTGTTAAAAGAAATATATTATCTAGAAAATAACCACTTACTACTGATTACGAGAACATTGTTTTGAAATTCTGCTATAAACACATTTTATAAATACTACGACATCGCAGGAGTTCTTGTTGATATTGTTTTATTAACACTAAGAAGTCGAAGAAGAAAAGGACTTGCTTTTGCAAGTATTAAATTCAAAACTCTGAATCTAAGCATTTAAGTTTAAGTTTTCAAAGAATCTGAAGTTTTATAAACCTTTGAACTAAGATAAATACATTTCCTAAATAATAGGACCACACATTTTTCATTCATTTCAATATCGTAATTTGTAAAGATCTTTCTTTGTAAAGAAAATTTAATAACTGTATACGTCGATAGTACAATACATTTTTTGATAATCTGCCATATTATTTTACTTAAAAACTCTGTACACTGCAATCAATAGAATTTTTGTTCTTACTTGGAATATATAAAATCCATTAAAAATTAAATCAAAAGTATACCTACTAACTTTTTATAATTCTGAATTAATTATAATAAAGAGGTCTAGCCTACTTATTATTAATTAAATTATTTATTAGATAATAAAATTATTCCTTCATGCGTACACTACACGCCGAAATAGGATGCAACTACACCAGGAGCGCATAACTGTGAGGAAGGAGGTGCAATGTTGCACTATGCACTCATAAATCGTTCGCGATTCCTGTTCATTTCTCAAATATTAAATATCGTAAGTATAAAATAAATAAATATATTTTTGTTAAAATCTAATATATAAATATCTCGTGTTACGGTGTTTGTGGTCGCATCCTCTGAAACGGCTCGACCGATTTTAATGATTTTTTGTTGTATATGTTTGAGAAAAACGTGTGCGAAATTTCAATTTTCTAGCCCTAAGGGTTTGGCCTGTGCGTTGATACATCAGCCACTTAATTTTGCATTTTGTATATTATATAGATTACAAACTGAACTATCATCGTAAGAGAGATGCAACTTTTTATTATATTGCTAAGAGTAGATATACAAATAATATTAATTTACTTAACAAATCTATTTTGAAAGCAAATTCACTAAATATGACCATGTATTAGACGGGACGTTTTTTGGTAACACGAAGGCGGAGCGTTTGAGTGAAATGGCCTGTATATGTTTAACTCTTCCTGTAAAAGGCAGGAATATAATTCATATAGTACGTATATACGCCACGCGATACAGTCGAGAGGGAAGATATCGTGACAGAAACTTACGAAACACCTTTACTAGCACCGCATAAGCGAAAGTAGATGAAACAAGCTATACATAGATATGTCGAGGCAACCTTTCATAAAATTCAATTCAAAATTCAAATTGAAAATTCATTTGACGTGTTTGCGTGTCTATCTGTGGAATCGTATATATCGTAACTTAAAAGTAAATACTTGGGCGACCGAGCTTCGCTCGACATTTTTTGGGAAAGATATAAAATTTGCGTTTTTTTTTAGAAAATACACATAAATAGACAAACTTAAAAAAGCAAAACCTTGTCTAAATACATAATTTGATCTAAATTGTAAAAGCCGTTTCCGAGATACACGAAATAAATTTATATATATAACTAGCATTGCCGGTGGCTCCCCCCGCGTTCAGATGACCAAAGAAAAAATTCATAGCTTTTACATATTAATATACCCTTACATTGCAGTTTTTGTATGTTTTCTCAAAAATGAGATATTTTCCCGGGATAGGTCCTATATTTTGACATCCTATATTTTGACATCTCATGTCACAGTGTTTGAAACAAAACTCCTTCGAAACGGTTTGACTCCTGTCTGACTGCTCCTGAAGGAGTACGTTGTAGAATCGGTCGGTTGCTTCATCAAGTTTTTTTTTCTTTATTGGTTTATAGTTGAGTTAACAGACGCAATCCATTCTGCCAGTGTCACGTTTTGTGAGGAAGACACGAATGAGATTGAGCGGTAATTTTGAAATTTGGTAACTTTAATGTTGAATTAAAACTATAAATTAATGAGCGGTCTACAGGAGTAACCTACAAGAATAGTAAAATAATTACGTAATACAAAAATGATACATTAATTGAGTATGAGTAATTTACATAATGAGTACTATAATTTAATTTTGTTATCTACTATAAATTTAACTATTTTTTTTATAAATGGGCTAAATACAAGGGCTAATAAACATTTGGTGTTTACTGGGCGGTGAATTTGAGGAGGGATTATATCATGTAGGGAATATTTCAATGTGGGACAATTAAACAGAATATGATCAGTCGAACCCTCATCTAAGCCACATTCACAAATAGAGCTATTTGTAATTTTTAATTTAGCTAAATGAACCGGAGTACACGCATGACCTAGACGTAGCCTACATACAATTGAGGTGGTTTTGCGGTCAGCACGGCGAAATCGAAAGAACCACGGGGAGACTGGAACTTCCAGTTGGATTGAAGCATAATATTTACCTTTAATTGATTTAGAAGAGTTCCAGAATATATTCCAAGAAGAGTAAATACTTTTTTTAGACAAAGAACGCAAGTCGTGGGAGTAATTACAATAATGACTTAAAATTCCACTAACCGTTGCAGATTTGGCGCAGCTATCAGCAATTTCATTGTCAATAATACCTGAATGACTAGGGATCCAAGCCAAGGTTATGAGGATGCCTTTTCATGGCAACGAAAGAGAGCTTCTCTAATTTTAAATATAATAACAAACCTTGATTTACTGCGGAAAGGGTTTTGCAAGATACGCTAA